TTCCAGGCAACGAGGTGCTTCTATCTATTCACAGTACGACTTCAGTGGTATTTGGTTTCCATAGAATGCCAGATATGCGAAATAACTGTAATCAAGTTCACAAAGCGCACTACTTGGTCTGAGAAGCGATCTCCTCCACGCAATAATTGAACTGCATCGCCATCCACGCCCGTATCTTTAACAAAGTTTATCCTGGGAACAAGTACCCAGAGAAGGAATGGAATGTATAATGTAAACAGGCATGAGGGCCGTAGCGCTGAGTGACACCAAGCAGCCTTGTGAACCTACTGGACAGGTTTTATGTGCTACAGGGTTGGACTCGCTTGCAAAAATGTGTTTGAGATATTTCGTAAGCTTACACATTTTGTCGTTTTTTTACATTTCGTAGGTTTTTCTACAAGATGTTAACTTGGCACAAGCTGTTGTACACCTTTTGTGAACTCGTTTCGCAGCTGTATATGTTGCCTAAATGTCAGCGAACAGAGATCATAGCGAGAAAACGTGGAATGAACGCACACTAAAAACTACCTAATCTGCAGATGACATTTTGTCGGTTTTTTAAAAGATGCTCCTGGTTCGCAAACACTGCAGATGTTACAAATTTTTCAAATTCTAACAATTAAAAAATGACCTCGTACTTGGGTTTCCAGGCAACGAGGTGCTTCCATCCATTCACAGTACGACTTCAGTGGTATTTGGTTTCCATAGAATGCCAGATATGCGAAATAACTGATTTTTTAGAGTGAAAAATAAACGGTATACCTACGTTAATGATCTGAGACCGCCATGTTCGTCTGTCAACTGTAAAATTGAACTCATTCGAGAGTTACTATCGTTTTTAACAAGCAAAAATCGACAAGATCGTACGCCAAAGTTATCCTAGCGTGAACCGTTTTTACCATTCCTTGATAACGTAGTGGCTTGGTAGTTTCTGATTCCTCACTTATTTAATAGGATTCTTTAATGCCATTAAATGCAATCAACTGCTCGAGTAGTATCTGATACCGTTACTTCCATTATAGTCTGTCATCTGACGAAACAAGGTTTATTGCATATTTAGAGGTATACTATGCGCAAAATATTTAGATTATCCGTTTTATGGTCGTTCCTTCATTTTTGTTCGTTTCTCGAGTTCATGTTCGTTACAAGGTGTAATATGATTTCTGAATTCCTACTGGGATATCGTTTCATAAATCTGTAACTACGGCTGTCATCCGCCCCGGGATTCACCAGATTTGTCCGATAGGACATCTCACCAGTAAAACGATTCGCATCACAGCGGTACTACGACCCACATCACCCTGTGCACATTATTTTATTACTTACAGAACCAAAAATTGTAATTCTAATTTGTTTTTAATTTGATGCCAAGAAGAAAAGTGTTCCTATTTATTTTGAATACTTGAAGAAGATAGAGAAGAGCAGTGGCGGCTCGTGGCAAAATAAAACAGGTGTTCTGGGGGGAGCAACCGCGAGTTCTCCTAGTCAAGGTTCCAGTTAGCGCCTGCCAACTGTGACTTGGGTCTAGGGTACTTGGCTCGTCCGGATCGTAGTCCATGAGGCGTCGTAGCTGCTCGTTCGGGTGGTTCTGAGCTTTCTGGAAGGTCTTCTCCGCTTTTTTCCTCATGTACTCGTGAATGGTGCCCCAATGCAGGTCTCTACGCAAGGTTGAGTTTCTTACGTAGGATGGTGCACTGGTGGCGATCCGGAGGCGTAAGCAAGCTGAGGTCTGGCGATGGCCTTAATCAGCCGTAGCTTGGTCGCTAGCGGCATCCGGCTGTGTCTACCCAGTAATGGGTAGAGTTGAGCCATGGCTGCCCTAGTCTTTGCGATGACAGCTTCTATGTGATCTTTCCAGGTGAGGGACTTGTCAAATACGATCCCCAGATATTTGACTTTGTCGCTCCACTGGATATCTTCGCCGAAGATGGATGCTTGCAATCTTGCAATCCTTCTTCGTTGGATGAAGATTGCCTGCGTCTTCTGGACGTTGATGCGGATTTTCCATTTCACGCACCAGTCCTGGATGTGGTCCAGTTCATCCTGTAGTCTCCTACGGATGATCTCGGGTCGTCGATGCTTGGCGGCTATAGCAGTATCGTCTGCATATAGGGCCAGCATTGTGTCAGCTGTCTTCGGTACGTCGTGAGTGTAGATGTTGTAGAGCAGGGGGGCTAAGGCTGACCCCTGGGGCACGCCTGCTTCCAGCTGTCGTATTGTTGAGTGGCATGTACCAATCTTCACCGTGAACCATCTTTGTGTTAGATAGCTCTGGATCAGTCGGCACATGTTTGCATCGATTCCGGCGGCTTCCATTTTGGCGATGAGTCCATCGTGACAAATTCTGTCGAAGGTTCGTTCCACGTCCAGCAGGACGAGGCCGGTTGCCTCCTGGAGATTGAAGCCACTGGTGATGTTTTCTGACAGTCGTAGCGCTTGGAGTTCCGTGTTGTGGGAGGATCTGAAGCCGAATTGCTCTGGAGGGAGAAGTTCCATTTCTTCTGCCTGCTTCTCTAGTCGAACGGCGATAGCTTTTCGACTACTTTGCCCATCGAGGAAACCAGGCTGATGGGCCGGTAGTTCTGAGGCAACTTCCGGTGCTTGCCTGGCTTGGTGAGCATTATAACCTGGGCTTCCCGCCACCGCTGCGGGAAGTGGTTAAGTCTCAGAGTGGCATTGGCGATGTTGGTGAGCGCAGCAATGCCTTTGGAGGGAAGGTTCTTCAGCATCCTGTTGTTGATGCCGTCCCTTCCCGGCGCCTTTCTGGCGTTCAACCTGCGGATGATCAGGCGGATTTCCTCTGGACTGGAGGGGTGATCCGTCTCCTGGCCAGGTGGTCGTCTCCTCATGATTTCGGCTGCGACTTCCACGGCCTCCTCGTGGTTGTTGTCCTCGTCTTCATGGTAATTGAGTCTGCATTCGGATTCTAACGAATCGGCGAATGCTTCGGCTTTTTCTTCACTGGAATAGGCCAAGCCGCGTTGGCCGTGAAGTGTGGGGATCGTGGTGCGCTGACGACGAAATTTTCGATGCACAGTCCAGGCCGTACCAGCCTGGGTCTCTAGTTCCGCGCCGGCTGCATTCCATCTGCTGTTTTGGAGTTTCGCGAGCGCGTTCTTCAGAGCTAGCGATGCTCTGTTCCGCGCAATCCTCGAGTCCTCTGTCAACAGCTGGAGATGTACTCGCTTGAGTCTTCTGTTCTCCCTGATCAGGTGCCTAATATGGTGCGGTGCTGAACCATTTAGGTGTCTTGGAACTGTCGTAGTCTCGGAGTGGGTGCTGTCCTCGTGCGCTCGCAGGACAGCCTTCGGATCTGCATAAATTGCAGCACATGCTTATGCTTAAATCGCGCATTTGATTTTGTAGAGAGAGACAAAAGCAAGCGCGTGCGGCTTGTGTCGAAGTAGTGCACAGACCCTTTTCAAGTGGCCCATGAATAATTTTACGCTGCGGTCGCGACGAAAATGACAAGTGCACAATTGGTCGATTATAATGCTGCAAAACAAACTCGACGCCGTGTCTTGCGGGGGCAGCGTTGCCGGTATTGTTTCTATTTGTGTGATAACATAGAAAATAAATAATGATCAAATTACTACTGCTTTTTTCTGTCAAGATAAAAGTTTTGGCAGTTCTGCAGCTCTGCAGAACTTAAGAGCCAGCCGCCCCTGGAGAAGGGTATAATATTCTATTAGTAATGTCATCGGAATTTTGTTATGCTGTAAGTTTAAGTAGATTTTGTCAGTTATTGTCAAAAGTTGATAACTAAATCCCTAACAAGATGTTTGAATTAACAAAAAATTGAAAATGACAGTTTTTACGCCTGCTGGCGAGGGAGTATTGTAATAGCGAAAAATTTCGAAATGGAGAGATTGTAGATCACGAAAAACCATATCACTCATTTCTGTCGGTCTGTCTGTCAATCTGTCCGCTAAATTCATAACCGCCTCTAAGTTGAGAAGTACCGTTCGGATTTTGATGAAATTTTGCCAAAGATGAAAAAGCTTTGTAGATTTTGAACATCGGTCCAGTGGCTGTAGCTCAAACTTCGTTTTTTGACGTTTCAGAGGCTCCTGATCATTTTCAGAAAAATGTTTGTAGGGGTTGAAACTTGGAGGTTGGGTATTGTAGGGTTGGGTAGTATTATTAGTCAAAGATGCTATATAATTTCTTAAGCTTCTTAGCTTCTGATCGCAGTAACAATGGCAAAATTAAATGGTAAAGGTCCGATGTACAATGTGCTCATAATTATATTTGTAACTTGCAATCGTTGACGGTGCATGCATAGCGCGATTCTGTATCGTCGTAGAGGCCACTGCCGACTGACCAATGGGTAACAAACTCCAACTGGTGAATCTGTGGTCGTGTCTTCACTGACACGCCGCTACTAATAATATATTTTAGCAATATTAGGAGTACGTACCACTTCAGCATTCTGCGATGCTTTTGTAAATGATGACTTAACTGTTTTTATATCTACACACATATTTTTCTGAATTTTATGATCCTTAAATGTACCACCCATTTCGCCTAACCTTGAATTTGGGTTGCTCCGTCGCTGATGGTTGTTTGAATATTTCGTTAAGTAGGCGTAGGAAACAGAGTCAATCTACTTGACTTCATTTTTACATTAAGCCACAAGCTATGCTCAAAGTCTGTTCAAGTGTGTTAAACTATCTTTTTATAAAGAATAGAATGAATTTGTAGCAGGTCAAAAAGCAGAAGTAAAAATTAATAAGAAATAAAAAAATAAAAATAAAGACCTAGAATGACAAAATAAATATAAAAACAAATAATAACAAATAGGAGAAGCATGCAACCTAGGGCATTCGATCACAGAGCAAACAAAATTGTGTCAAGTCAATCTACTTGACGATATTTTTTTGTTTTGTACAATGTCTTGAGTGTTCGAGGTTTGACTTCCAGTCAAACAAAAATTCTATCTCTATCAGTTCCTTCTCTGGTTTGACAATTGACCCTTTACAATGTTTATTTTTCTTCAGTTTTGGGAAATAATCTCCGACGAGCACGGCATCGACCCCACCGGAAGCTACCAGGGAGATTCTGAACTGCAGTTGGAAAGGATCAACGTTTACTACAATGAAGCCGCAGGACACAAATACGTGCCGCGTGCCATCTTGGTCGACTTGGAGCCTGGTACCATGGACTCTGTTAGATCCGGCCCATACGGACAGCTCTTCAGACCAGACAACTTCGTATTCGGACAGTCCGGCGCCGGAAACAACTGGGCCAAAGGTCATTACACAGAAGGCGCAGAGTTGGTAGACTCAGTATTGGATGTAGTCAGGAAAGAAGCTGAATCATGCGATTGCCTGCAAGGATTCCAATTGACACATTCCCTTGGAGGTGGTACCGGCTCCGGTATGGGCACACTCCTCATTTCGAAGATCAGGGAAGAATACCCAGACAGGATAATGAACACATATTCAGTAGTGCCATCACCTAAAGTATCAGACACAGTTGTAGAACCATACAATGCCACCTTGTCTGTACACCAACTTGTAGAAAACACCGACGAGACTTACTGTATCGATAACGAAGCTCTCTACGACATCTGCTTCAGGACGTTGAAACTCACCACCCCAACATACGGAGACTTGAACCACTTGGTTTCGCTCACAATGTCCGGAGTGACCACCTGCCTCAGGTTCCCTGGTCAGTTGAATGCTGATCTCAGAAAACTCGCTGTCAACATGGTACCGTTCCCGCGTCTCCACTTCTTCATGCCCGGATTCGCACCACTGATCTCTCGCGGAAGCAGGGAGTACCGCGCTCTCACAGTCCCTGAGCTCACCCAGCAGATGTTCGACGCCAAGAACATGATGGCTGCTTGCGATCCCAGGCACGGAAGGTATCTGACAGTTGCCGCCGTCTTCAGAGGCAGGATGTCCATGAAGGAAGTCGACGAACAGATGTTGAACATCCAGAACAAGAACAGCAGCTACTTCGTAGAATGGATCCCCAACAACGTGAAGACAGCTGTGTGTGACATCCCGCCAAGAGGTTGCAAGATGGCCGCCACCTTTATCGGAAACTCCACCGCCATTCAGGAGCTGTTCAAACGTATCTCCGACCAGTTCACAGCTATGTTCAGGAGAAAGGCTTTCTTGCATTGGTATGTAGATAGTATTTATTTATTTATTAATTTATTTACCCGTATACAGGGTGTTCAAGATAAGGATCCTATGCATGAGGAAGATGCAGCTTACGATAAATTAGGAAAAAGCGTTCTTTGAGGCATATTTACATGCTGTTGGGAAACTTGTAAAAACGTATTTAGCAAAAACTATTTTTCTTCTAATTTTGACGATAATAGAGCACTATTAACAATACACAATTATAACAAAACTCACTGACAGGTATTTAAGAAAACAAAAAAATTATTTAATTATTATACTATGTGACATATAAATCCGAACACCCAGTTCAAATGGTTTTATTTTAATAAAAGTTGGTGAATGTATTTATCTTACTGTAAATAACAAGTGAAAAAATTTTCAGCCTTATCAGTTGGACTTTCCGGTTTTTATACTGCTTTTTTTTTATTCACTAACGCTCTAAAAATGAATATTTCAGCCGCAGTAAAGAATCAACGTTGGAGGATTTTGGTTCTTGACATCCTTTACGATCGGTTACGATGCCTAGAGTACGGAGACCTGTACGATTTCGTCAACTTAGTGAGTTTGATAGGGGCCGTATAGTGGGACTTCGGGAAGCTGGACTTTCTTTTCGGGCAATTGCAGTTAGAGTGCAAAGAAGTGTAGACACTGTGGTTAGGTGTTGTCAGGCATGGCTTCGAGAAGGCCGTACGCAAAGAGCAAGGGGCACTGGACGCCGCCGTAGAACAACAGACCGTGAAGATCGCCGCCTAAGATTATTGGCCTTAAGGGACCGTTTCTCCACTACCAGGTCCATTGCAAATGAATGGTTTGCAGAACACGGAAGACCTATTGGCATGCGAAGTGTTTACCGACGAATGAGAAGTTTTGGCTTGTTTTCATTCCGGCCACACTGGGTCCTCCCTTTAACTCGAGAACACGTAATCGCCTTGAGTGGTGCAGACAACGGTCACTCTGGGATCAGGAATGGAACAGTATTGTATTTAGTGACGAGTCTCGATTTTGTTTAGGCATGCACGATGGTCGTGCCAGGGTTAGAAGGCGACGTGGTGAAAGGAGGAATCCACAGTTTTTTGTTGAAAGACATGTTCATCACACTGTTGGAGTTATGGTTTGGGGTGCTATAGCTTATGGTTCCAGGTCACCTTTAATCTTCATCAGAGGTAACATGAACGCGCAGCCTTATATCCACGAAGTTCTAGAACCCCTGGCAGATCCAACTTTCCAACAAGATAATGCCCGACCACATGTTGCAAGAGTCACAATAGACATCTTTCAACATAATGATGTCACATTGTTACCATGGCCACCAAGATCTCCCGACTTATCCCCAATTGAGCACGTGTGGGATATGATGGGTAGGAGATTGCTCAATTTGCAACGTCCTCCTCAGACTCTAGAAGCACTTCGAGAGGAGTTGGTGGTTGTCTGGAATGAGATACCACAGGAGGACATTGACCACCTGATCAGAAGCATGCCTAGGCGCGTTGGAGAATGCGTAGCACATCAGGGTGCATCCACACATTATTAAAAGTCAAAGGGCTTTAAAGCAGTGCAATCATTTTGAAATTTTTATCATTTACTTATTATGCTTCATTAAGTACTTATACAAAATTTTATTAAAATAAAACCATTTAAACTGGGTGTTCCGATTTATATGTCACTTAGTATAGATAGTATTTATTTATTTATTAATTTATTTACTCGGATACAGGGTGTTCAAGATAAGGATCCTATGCACGAGGAAGATGCAGCTTAGGATAAATTAGGAAAAAGCGTTCTTTGAGGCATATTTACATGCTGTTGGGAAACTTGTAAAAACGTATTTGGGAAAAACTAAAATTTTGCCAATTTTGACGATAATAGAGCAATATTAACAATACACAATAATAACAAAACTCACTGATAGGTATCTAAGAAAATAAAAAAATTATTTAATTACCATAAAAAAAATGCACTTTTCGTTATAACCAAACAAATAAATGTAACATGTGATACATCGTTGGATCCCTATAAAAAATGCTAGCAGATGTATGGTGTACTTTTTTCGGACCGTATAAAAGAATAAAGTTGATTATGGTTTCTTAGAAACGAACCGTCGGACACGGAATTTAAAAAAAACATCATGTGGTGCCTAAAAAGTGCCAACAAAAAAGTTTAATTAGTTTTTAGATATTTCTCAAAATCAAGTCAGAAAAAAATAAAAACGATTTGACCTAATGTTGATGCATAAGTTCTTTATATGGGACACCCTGTATACTAACAAACAGGTCAAGTTGAATCAAAGCTTGTAATAAAAATTACAGGAGATCCCCATCTTCTCAAACAGCCCTGTATCTTATTCAAGTTCTCGACTATCGTTATGAAGTTGGAATAATGTTTTAGGTTAAAAATTTCAATTTTTGTTATGATCCCTTAAATTTCATTATTTTTCCTTTCATTTACCTAACATATTTTTCTTGTTCAGGTACACCGGAGAAGGTATGGACGAGATGGAATTCACCGAAGCAGAGTCCAACATGAACGATTTGGTTTCTGAGTACCAGCAGTACCAAGAGGCCTCAGCCGACGAGGACGCTGAGTTTGACGGGGATCATGATCACGAAGCCGAAGTCGATGAAAACTAAGACCTAAAAAAGCTCCACATTCCGGAACGAAGAAAAAATAATGCTTTTGCCACAGAGACTGATCACTTTTTATAAGTTATTGAATGACTGTAATACATTTATATCTGTTTTCGCTTTGAGTATATTTTGTCAGTTTAAATTATTATTGAGAGTTTTTGAACGTTTTTGTAATTTTATACGTATAGAATTTTTCATTGAATCTTTTAATGATTAAAATTTCTGTGATTTACATATTAGTGTTTTATTTATCCCTTTTTTTAAATCGAAGCGGCCGCGCAGGCATAAGCCTAAATGCCGGTACACCGCGGCTGCTACGATGATCCCAAAGAAATTTTGTTAATACGATTTTTGAACTGCCTAAGGTTAGTAGAACTGGGAAAAGCTTCCTCTTGTAGATTGTTCCACAATATCGACACCCTCGGGACAAAGGAGCGGTCGTATCGGCCAAGTCCGGACCAGAAGCTTTGTTGATGTCGAGCGACAAGAGCACTCGTCTTACGGTCTTATGCCTGAATGTTACCTCCCGCATAGTGTAGGGAACCCTTTGAATTGATGGCACTTGGGCGTTGGCGGGGACGACCATGGTGGAGTTGGCAACAAAGATCTTGGCTAGCACTTCCGCCTTGGCCTTTGAGTAGAATACAATAGTTCCATCCTGACACGTAAGTGGTGGAAGGCTACTGAGTGAGAAGTTCTTTTCAATCTGCTTGGCCAGCGTCCAGAAAGACCGACTGCCACTGCGCTGCGACATTACCCTGTGCCTAACTTTTATATCGTTTCAAGTTTCGCGTAAGAGTTCTGAACGATGCACAGGAAACACTATGCTGTGCAGTGGCGACGCGTTACTTTTCCTAAACTATTACCAAAACCAGATGTGAAAAATCTTATTAAAAAAAGTTTATTTTGAACCTCCCAAATATAAGTTTTTGCTTATCTTAGGTATTTTATTTAAACTATTTTTAAATTAAGGTAATCATTCCTGGACTGCGCGTCTGGGGCATTTGATATACCTCATGCTATGACTAATCCAAGCCGTCCGAAAAAACAGTCGACGTTTCCAGATGTTCGGAAAATTTTTGATCTTTTTTGGCAATGAATGTCAACAATTCCCTGTAATTTCCTCTAGTGTCAGAGTCATCCCCTTCAAAATGAACGGTAATTCCTGTTTTGCCAAAAAACATACGGTATCTAGAAGTGCGCTGCCTAAAAACTTGGTTAAGACAACTTTCGATTCTTGTTTTGCCAAACTGAATTAAATTGGCTACACATCTCACATGTTAAGGAGAAATTTCATGTCTCCTCTTTAGAGTCCTAAAACTATACTAAGTGACATATAAATCCGAACACCCAGTTTAAATGGTTTTATTTTAATAAAAGTTGGTGAATGTATTTATCTTACTGTAAATAACAAGTGAACAAATTTTTAGCCTTATCAGTTGGACATTCCGGTTTTTATACTGCTTTTTTTTTTAATTCACTAACGCTCTAGAAATGAATATTTCAGTCGCAGTAAAGAATCAACGTTGGCGGATTTTGGTTCTTGACATCCTTTACGATCTGTTACGATGCTTAGAGTACGGAGACCTGTACGATTTCGTCAACTTAGTGAGTTTGATAGGGGCCGTATAGTGGGACTTCGGGAAGCTGGACTTTCTTTTCGGGCAATTGCAGTTAGAGTGCAAAGAAGTGTAGACACTGTGGTTAGGTGTTGTCAGGCATGGCTTCGAGAAGGCCGTACGCAAAGAGCAAGGGGCACTGGACGCCGGCGTAGAACAACAGACCGTGAAGATCGCCGCCTAAGATTATTGGCCTTAAGGGACCGTTTCTCCACTACCAGGTCCATTGCAAATGAATGGTTTGCAGAACACGGAAGACCTATTGGCATGCGAAGTGTTTACCGACGAATGAGAAGTTTTGGCTTGTTTTCATACCGGCCACACTGGGTCCTCTCTTTAAGTCGAGAACACAGACGTAATCGCCTTGAGTGGTGCAGACAACGGTCACTCTGGAATCAGGAATGGAACAGTATTGTCTTTAGTGACGAGTCTCGATTTTGTTTAGGCATGCACGATGGTCGTGCCAGGGTTAGAAGGCGACGTGGTGAAAGGAGGAATCCACAGTTTTTTGTTGAAAGACATGTTCATCACACTGTTGGAGTTATGGTTTGGGGTGCTATAGCTTATGGTTCCAGGTCACCTTTAATCTTCATATCAGAGGTAACATGAACGCGCAGCGTTATATCCACGAAGTTCTAGAACCCCATCTTTTACCCTATCTTGACACCCTGGCAGATCCAACTTTCCAACAAGATAATGCCCGACCACATGTTGCAAGAGTCACAATAGACTTCATTCAACATAATGATGTCACATTGTTACCATGGCCACCAAGATCTCCCGACTTATCCCCAATTGAGCACGTGTAGGATATGATAGGTAGGAGATTGCTCAATTTGCAACGTCCTCCTTCGACTCTAGAAGCACTTCGAGATGAGTTGGTGGTTGCCTGGAATGAGATACCACAGGAGGACATTGACCACCTGATCAGAAGCATGCCTAGGCGCGTTGGAGAATGCGTAGCACATCAGGGTGCATCCACACATTATTAAAGGTCAAACGGCTTTAAAGCAGTGCAATCGTTTTGAAATTTTTTATCATTTACTTATTATGCTTCATTAAGTACTTATACAAAATTTTATTAAAATAAAACCATTTAAACTGGGTGTTCGGATTTATATGTCACTTATTATATTTAAATTCTTGACTCCGTTGCTGGTCCACCCATTTTTTTCTGTATAAAACAGATGACATCGCCAACAATACAATCTGTTTTTTGCAAACCACATAACCAAGAGTTTCCATATACCAACTTAATTTAAAATATCCAACTACGTTTTTTTATTCCTTTTTAAAATTATCTAAAATAGATGTTGGTCTTCCATCTTCAATGATCTCCTTTTTTTTCTTAAAAATTATACAAGGAGAATGACTTTTCAAGTAGTTGATCGATTACGCAGCGACACTCGTCCATGTTTAATTGCACGTACACCACAGCCGGTAACCAAAAGGGCTACTAACGAGTGAGAAGTGAGTAACCAATTCAAAAAATGGTAACAAGCCCACATAATAGTCGCAGCGCCCCACGCACTCGGGCGACCGCGATCAGACACGAGCCGGTCCGACGGTCCCCGACAGACTACCAAGTGTATCCATAAATGAAACTGGTAACAACCGACAACTAAGTCGAGGCGAATCAGCTTCATCGTGTTCGCAAATCCTAGACACTATAGGGCGCATTATTTCCGTGGGGCTAATTTGCTATTTACCGAATCACTATTACATATCGCTGTCAGTAATCAAATAAATGATATTATTCCACAGTACTTGGTCATAAAATATTTATTTTTAAGATTTTTAACTGTTACCAATGGTAACAATGGTTACATGGACGCTTCGCCACTGATGCTGTGGCGCGGCAGAAATACGTGTGATACCAATCAGAACACTCATCAGAGCCGACGGCTCGAAGTTTCGGTAACCCGGACTCTGCCAGTAGTCGGACAAATCTAATATTATTGGTGAAAACTTGAATATTTGAAATCCGATACTTGCTGGTAATTGGTACCAGATTATTCAACTGATTTATGACAGTTTAAAAAATTTCACACCCACAGATGTCATATTAACAACAGTATTAGAGCGTCAAAAACAGTATGCATTTGGAATCCTCAATCTTTGTCAGTTGTACAGTGAGTGACATAAAAAGCAAGTGAAATCGTCAGCTGAAAATATATTCACTTTGAAGTTGAGTCATTAATTTTCAGATAATGATTTTAGAAGGAAGATAAACCAAAATATGTGTGTAAAAATAAAAAAAAAATAAAAAAAACATGTTACCTTGTTTTATAAAGTATCCTCCAGACAAGTATTTCAGTGCGGACCTGTATTTGATCGTGCGGTCTTGGAGCACCGGCATGCCCTCCCCTGTGAGGCCTAACTCACCTGATTCATGAGCCCTTTGTACTACATTAACAAAGGCACGAGGGGTTGGTTGCACTCGATTGGGAAACCGATCCGCATAAATCCGTGATGCCGGGGCAGCATTTTGTAAATAGGAATCATGTCCACAAGTTCAGCATTTTCGTAAACATGTGCCATTTTTTATTTCGTTTGAGCCACGCAACAAACACCACTATTCACTCACGCGTTACCGACTGACACATTGACTGAATACAACTGAATAAAATTGTAGTAAAAACATAAGCGTTTCAAATTCTTTCGCTTTTTTGTTTCCGATGCGATGAACCGATAAGGCGGATTATATCCGTTGTTGCCAAACACGAGCACATAATATTATTATTGAGACAGGGCGGTACTCAAACTTCTAAAGGGCTATAACTCTGTTACTTTAATTTTACCAGAAAAATGTTATAGGAAAAAAACATTTCTTTTGATCAGATCTACTCACTGTTAAAATAAATGACTCAACTTCGAAGTCACCCTGTATAAGTACTGTTCTTATTACGTATGCAAAATACGTTCGAAATTTACGAAATAAATTAATCTTAATATGTTTTTTAATATTCCAATCAAATTGGAGTGCCATTATCATCTTTCTCTGTCTAACCATAGAGCCTATCAAACCCCGCTATTGGAATTAAAAAAACTAAAATGCGACTGAAGCCCCAGCCAGTGGACGAACAGCGGAAGATGACTAAGTATGTAGTTCTGCCGATTTTGGTCCTGGTCTACCGAATTACCGATTTTAAAGCAAAAGAGGACTTTTCTTTCAATTGAATAATTTTTGTTCCCTCTATAAGAGAAATATTTCTGATGCCTGGCAATAAAAAGAATGACAAAGGTACTATTATTATTCATACTAGACCAGATATATTTTTATTCTTTTTGCCTGACATTGGTGTGCCACATACGCTGATTCTTTGCATCTGGGAAATCACCGAAGCTACTCGATAATTTGGCTATTGTACGATTTGTATGATTTCGTGTACTTAGTAATTCCGAATTCGGTCAGTCCCAACTAGCAAAGTAGTGGTATAAGCTTTTGGTAAAAGAACCGTTCAGCCATAAAGCTCTCTGTTGTTGTTGCCTGAACACAAAAATGCTGGCTTAATGTTGTGTGGAATGCAGATGTGCTTTCTGCAACATATTTGCTCTAAAATGAAGTGTTTAAAATATTCTTGTAGCATAGTTATACAACACCTTATAGGCCAAAT